TAGAGATGTACACCCCCTAGAGTAGAATCTTTAAAATGATTCGTAAAAGGTGTCCCATATCCCAGAGCATTCTCCCAAGTCAAGGCTTTAGAGCACTCTTTGCAGGTCTCCTGCTTTCAGGCTTTCCTGCCAGGTGTGAGTGTAAGTGGAGAGGTGAAAATATGGAAGGGTGAGAAGGGGTCAGTGAGATGGTTCAGCAGGTAAAGGCACTTGCTGCTCAAGGCTGACCCCGTGAGTCTGATTCCTGAACCCTCATGAGGATGGAGGGAGAGAAGCAACTTCACAAAGTTGTCCTCAGACATCCACATGTGGAGCAGAGCACATGTGTGCCCCCACATAGTAAGAAATAAAATAAAATGGAAGCAGAGGTATGTCGAGATTCTAGAACATCTGAAGCCCTTGGCTTATCAAAATTAGCTGCATATAGACCAGGGCATATAAAATGGCAGCAGACTAATATTCTGGAGACCAGTTCCTTAACAGGAGGCCCAAGGATGGGCCCTCTCCTGGAGTTGTGACTCATTCTCTGTCCCTCTCAGCAATGTTTCCAGGTACCTCACTGGCCTGCAAAAGGACTCTTGAAGTCACTTTCATTGTCTGGATTTGTAGGCTTATAACATTAAGCAGGTGTATGCTTATTATATGTAGATTATATGCAGAATTGTATTTGGCCTTCTGCCTTGTCATACAGGGATATGTCCACTGAGACTATCCTCTAACTCCACACAGATGGCTAGCTTAAGACAGACTTTCACCATTTTTTAAAACTATGTCTCTATCTCACTAAAAAAATGTGAGAAAGGATAGTGTGGAGTTATGTGAGGACTCCTGGGTTCCCCAGAAGACTCTGTTTTGTGCCCTGCAGGAAGTGACCCAGAAGAGAGGGAATCTAAGCATGAAAGGCTTGAGAACGACGTAAGGCATCCAGTTCAAATCAACACGTACTTTTGAGTACTGTCTGCATACAAGGGACCATTCTAACAGGGAGCAAAAGGGCTCTTAAAATGTAGCAGAGAATCCTTTCATCTCAACACCCGCCCCCCACTTACAGAAAAGGGGAATGAGCCCCAGCAGCATAAAGAGAGTGCTATGACTCGTCCCAGAGAAGGTTACCTGGCACACCAAGCCAGATCCCTAGTGCCAAGGCTTGGTTCTGGGCTGTTATATGGTGATATATGTTATATGCTTCCCATCCAGTCTCTTGGAAGGTGACTCCAATTAAGATATTTTTTTCACATAGACATTGACTCCCATTCCCATGTCTGTACCTCATTCCTAGGAAGCTCAGTGATTTCCTTTCAACAACTTACACTCCAGGTAAATATTTCCATCTGAACTTCTGAAGCCCCTGCTTCAAGGCTCTCACTTCTTTTAATACCGTTCCTCCTGGAGCCACTGAAAACCACTCTTTGCCCTTCCTCCCTGCCTCTAGAGCAAGCCACCTCTTCCTATACACCTCTCTATGGCAGCATCAGGTAGCCTGGACCAGATTCCCAGCCCCAAGAAGGTGCTGAACTGGGGCAACCCTACAGATGTGTAAACATTTTACTTCAGTAACAAAGCAGGCTTCTTCCCAAAAGCAACAGGAAAAGCAGAGACCAAGAGCTCTTGGCAAAATAAAAGGGGAACAAGGGAGAGAGAGAGAGAATGAGATTGCATCCTGTTTCCTATTAGATGAAACTTCGTTTTCTTTTTATAGAAGACTAAGGGAGGAATTAAGTGGATGAGAGGGAGATACTGAGATAAGGGGCAAGGGGGACACAAATGGGATGGCTTTAGGAACCTCTGATCCCACTGACATTCTAAGTGGACAGCAAGACATAAGCTCTGGAGCAATTCTTTCCAAATATGAAGACAGTTCTTTGTCTTTGGAGGGAGTCAGTGGGGAATTAAATTTTAATATGTAGTCTCTTAATATTGTCTAGGCTGGTGAAAATATAGGATTTCTAAGAGGTTGTTGAGCCTTCATGATCTATCTTAACATATCAGGCAAGATGATTTCAAGATACCCCCTTTTATTGGTGAAATTATTAAGGCCACTCCACGTAGTTAAAAGGAGATTTATTTAATGGCGTAACTTACAAATTAAGGAATAGGTAGGTCGCGGGGTCTGGGGAAGGTGTATCACAGTCCAGCGGTGTTCTCTGGAGCTCTGCTTGGTCCACCTCTCCAGTCCAGGGTCCCGCAACAGAGAGAGCGCCCGCCGATCCAGATCTCGGTCCCCCGGCGCCTCCCTTGGCCCCGCCTTGTAGGCGTGACAGTTGCCGAAGTCTCAATGGGGGTTGGAACTTCCAGATCAAAGCTGGAATGGCTACCCACTACACCCTTTCTCTGTCCACTTTGTATTTTGTTTCCTCTTATTTCCTACTCTTTCATTTTTAATTTACTCCCAGTCCCTTCAGCATCTTAAAAACCAACTCTTGTTTGGATAGCCTGTGTATATCAAGAATATTATATCCATTATGTCTTTCAAGTAGGACAGCATATTTAAAAAGAGATACAGATGAGGGAATCAGGGTCCACAGAGATGAAGTGATTTTGTCCCAGACATATGGCCTGTAATTTCTGTCATCATGAGTCAAAACAGGTTACTCTGGGCCCAAAGTTCCTCCCCCTTCCTTCACAGTAGAAACACATCTGTCCTCTGACTTTCTTTGTCCTTTAGAAACTGAGACATAAATTAGTGCCTTCAATTCTGTGTGTCTTTAAAACCCCTTCCTTTTTACATACTCCATTTTGAATTATATATGCCTGTGCTCATTCATGGGATGCATCCTGAGCGCCTACTGTAATGAGAGGCTAGACAGGTTACAGACATAAGCAAACTGGTCACTACTCTCAAGAACCATCCAGTCTAGTAGAGAAGAGACAAGGAGATGGATAGAGGCAGCTCCAGAGTGAGAGATTCGACGTTGTTTTCTGAAAGCAAAATGAATCCAGTAGAGAGAATTCTACTCTCTCTGTGACCCCTACTCACAGAGCTATCAGGAAGTGCCCCCCCCCGGAAGAAGTGCTTTGTGTCAGTCACGAGGAAGCCTGTAATAAATAAAATCAGCCATGGACTAACTGTGTGATACAAAACTTCATGCAAATAAGAGCCAGAGGTGCTTACTACACTGCCAATGTCACCCAGACTGTAGAAGTGGAATGACTGTGTTAGGGTACTCTGTCCACTGCCTGCAAAGGTTTCGAGTGGGAAGAAAGAAGTGGGTGGGCTTAGATCCTCTGCCAAAATGCTGGCCATGTCAGATGCTAACATAGACATTTGCACAGATGCTAATGCCCCAGTGCCCACAAAGGGAAAAAAGACTGTGTGGGCCTCCTCTATTGATTTTGCTGGATATTCTCCATGTTCATTTGATGAGTATTAATGGCAGATGCACAGTCAGAGTTACGGTGACCGCACCTATTCTCCAGGGAGAGTAGGGACTGTCCTTCCAAAATGAGCATCCTTTATTCATTCTTGTTTCCTTTTCTTTCTCCTCTCACCTGGCTTCATACAGCATCTGACACTTAAAATACACAGTAATTAGAAAATCCTCTTCATCATCCAGAAGCTTTGCCTGTGCCAAGGTACAGTGGGTATATTGCAGAAAGGCTGGGGGATGGGGGACTGGTGAGTACAAAGATAATCAGATACATGGAGAATCTGTCCAGCAGCTTATTGGAGTTTCCAGATCTCTAGAAAGGGATGTCTGTCTTTAAATGTCCTTAAAGATCAACTGAAACTCGTGATAACTACCTCCAACTTTCCTTGGTAGATGATGAAGTCCAAATCCCTGGTAATGTTAGTGTTGGAAATGTTATGCAACTTGCATATGAGACAGTTAATTCCAAGGTCATATAGAGCTAGGATCCACTTACCAACCAGCTGACCTCATACTCATCTTTTCACTTCCTTTAATTTCCATGTTCACCATTGCTTAAATGAGAAATTTAATATCACTGCTCTGGATGTTATGTGTTCAATAAGCTAATGCATATGAAGACCTTAGCATGATGCCTTGCCTGTTATAAAGACTTTAGCATGATGCCTTGCCTGTTATACAGACTTAGACTTTATACTTGATTACAGTTAAAAGGGCATATACATATGTGTGAGTACACACACACACACACACACACACACACAACAGAGAAGAGAATGTTAGATAAAGAGCATTGGGTTCTTGGGAGATTTGTAAGTGATCCTGTATAACTCCATTAATGTCATCTGTTCTCTGTGTCTCAGTTTTCTCACTACTGCCAGAGTTGAAAGAGTTGGAGGCTATGATCTTCAGAAATCTTTCCAGTTCAGCTATTCACTGTCTGCCTTCTCTTTAGAATTCATGCTGGGGCTAGCTAAGACTCATAGGAGAGACAGAAGCACTGGCTTCCTAGCCCTTGACTTTTACTCTTCTAGGGCAATCTTTCCCACAATTCCATGGTATAGATCATTCAATGACTGTTAATGGCAGTTGTACACTCAAAATTATGGTGATGGTCCTAGAGACAGCCCTTCTAAATAAGAATCTTCCTTATCATCTCCCACTGATTTTCTATCACCTTTTATATTACCCTTCACTTAAAATCATCTCCTAAATTGAAAATATACTTTCCTAAATAACAGCTTTGTAAAACCAATGGTTTTTAGGTTTTATTATCGTTGGTATTTTTGGTTTTGGGCTTTGTTCTGTTTTTTATTTTTTGAATGATGAAATACTCATTCTTCTAACAGAAACATTCCGACATACTCCATATTCAAAATAACAAAAGTAAAACCTTCACTTGCCATGCGGTATTGACAAATCCAACTCCCTTGCCCTGTCAGTTCCTCTAGCCCTTACCTTGCACTTGGGGTGGTCCCAGAGGCTACATTAGTAGCAGGCAGGGTTGTCATAGAACTTTTTGAGAACAACTATTTTAAATTATTCTGATGTGAATTTTATCAGAGAAAAATAACTTACTTGCACTTACTTCCATGCTTTATTTATTCATCTTTCTCTTTTGGGACCACATAGGGCTGTATGACAAATGTTCTTATACCTCGCGTGACCGAGGATGGGTCGTGGGCATTCACACCATCAGTGATCAAGGCAACAGAGACCCACGGTACTTTTTCTCCTTGAAGACAGACCGGGCCAGGAAAGTGACCACCATCGATGCTCATCGCAGCTACCTCCCAGGCCAGTGGGTATACCTAGCTGCTACCTACGATGGGCGACTGATGAAGCTCTATATGAACGGTGCCCAGGTGGCGACCTCTGGGGAGCAAGTTGGTGGCATATTCAGTCCACTGTCCCAGAAGTGTAAAGTGCTCATGTTAGGGGGCAGTGCTCAAAATCACAACTTCCGGGGCAACATTGAGCACTTCAGTCTATGGAAGATAGCCAGGACACAGCGAGAGATACTGTCTGACATGGAAACCCATGGCCTCCACACCCCTCTACCTCAGCTCCTCCTCCAGGAGAACTGGGACAATGTGAAGCGCACTTGGTCTGCCATGAAGGATGGCAACAGCCCCCACGTGGAATTCAGCAATGCCCACAGCTTCCTGTTGGACACTAGTTTAGAGCCCCCTCTTTGTGGGCAGACGCTATGTGACAACACAGAAGTCATCTCCAGTTATAACCAGCTCCCAAGTTTCCGTCGACCCAAGGTGGTGCGCTATCGTGTGGTCAACATCCATGATGACGATCATGAGAACCCGACTGTGAGCCAGCAGCAGATTGATTTTCAGCACCAGCAGCTGGCTGAGGCCTTCCAGCACTATAACATCTCCTGGGAGCTGGAGGTGCTGGAGATAAACAGCTCTTCTCTGCGTCACCGCCTCATCCTAGCCAACTGTGACATCAGCAAGATCGGCGATGAAAAGTGTGACCCTGAATGCAACCATACACTGACTGGCCATGATGGCGGGGACTGCCGCCAGCTGCGCTATCCCGCATTCATGAAGAAGCAGCAGAACGGTGTTTGTGACATGGACTGCAACTACGAAAGGTTTAATTTCGATGGTGGAGAGTGCTGTGACCCAGACATCACTGATGTCACTAAGACATGCTTTGATCCTGACTCTCCACACAGGTAAGATGTTCCTGGGCAGATGTCTGGTTGAGAACTGATTGTTATGTTCTTATTTCATAGATAAGACAGCTAAGTTTCCTAGAGGTTTGTGACATTTTTCCAATTCATGCAGCAGGCTTGTGATCAAGACAAGTCTAATATTAAGGTAATCAAGGGGGACTATATACATGTGTAGTCCTTTATAAGACTACATACTGAGTGCTTACTATTGACCACGAAGAAGGACTCAAAACCCTGTCCTCTCAAGGAGCTCAGGGTTTAAATTGGGCATCATGCACTGCATGCAAATAGCTGTTGTACTATATATGGTAGTGTTGGTTATATCTGTGCCAACCAATCCAGTAGCTTTAGGCCATAGGCTACTATTAAAATTTAACTTAGTTAAGAGTAAATAAAATTACTTTTGTTTATTTTATATTTTTATTTGTTATTTTACATTTACATTTTTATTTATTACTTTTATTTTATTTATAAATAAATAAAACCAGTAGCACCTGATGATTCAAGCCTATAATCTCAACTACTTACAAAATAGAGACAGGAAGATTTTAGTTCAAGGACTGATTGGGTTACAGAATGAGTTCAGGGTCAGTCTAGGCAAGCGTGTAAGATCTTATGTCAAAATAAAAAGAGGGGTAGGTTTATAGCTCAGTGGTAGAACACTTTCCTAGCTAGTATGAAGCTCTAGATTCAGTCTTTAGCAAAACACACACACACACACACACACACACACACACACACACACACACACACACATGCTCACACACGTATACATACGTGCATATGGAAATAAAAGCTAGTTTCTTTGTTACTCAGTTGCTACATGGGGTTTGTGACTGTCATGCTGCACAAAACGATACAGAAATCTTCCACAGTCTGTGGGTATGGAGCTGGTATATCTAAGGTCATTTAGGAGCAGACACCTTGGGTTCAGATCCCAGTTCCTCCCTCGGAGACCTCTTAGAGGCTCTTTGTGCATCTGTAAAATGGAAGTGATAATTTTTCGAGTTTGCAGAGGTCAGAGAGAAGGTATACAAAATGCCATCTCTCCATCAGTGGCCAGAACATTACTAGCTCTCAATAAATAAATTTATCTAAGGACAGGGGGAGTGGTATTCAGAGTCTACCACTCAAATCATGTGCCTGGAGCCTTGAATGTATCCTGGGGAGTTCTTAGGGACAGGTAGAATTCCACCAAGGTCTTCAAAAGCAGGCATAATGCGAAGCACAACCAAGGAACTCCAGAAATCTAACATGCAATTTGAGAGCTATGGATAATAAATATGCACTATACTTAGTAATCATGCTAAAAAATAAAGCGAACAAACAAACAAACAAAAACAAGTTTGTAGTTTTTCTAGCCACAACCAAAAGGTAGCTATTTGAAATAATGGATATGATTGTTATTTTCACTATGGTAACCTCTTTTCTATCCGCTTGTATCCCATCACAACATGTTTTAAATCTTAAATACATAAAACAATAATTCTTTTCCACAACACCAAAAAGAATAGAAGGTACTGGAGAGATGGCTTGATGGATAAGCATGCTTGTTTTGAAAGCAGAATGACCTGAGTTCAAATCCCCAGCATTCATGTAGATGTCACACATAGTCATGCATGCCTGTAATGCTTGCCATAGAGGGCGGAGACAGGCAAGTTCTGGGAGCTCTCTAGTCAGGCAGCCTAGTGAAATGGTAAGCTTCTGGATCAGTGAGAGAGAGTGTGTCAAAGAACAGGGTGGAGGATAATGGAGTAAAAGACTAGACATTATCCCTGTTTTCTGCTTGTCCGCACACACACACACACACACACACACACACACACACACACACACACACACGCAGAGTGTGTGTATACAAAGAATAGATATAATTTTGACATTGATCAAAGATGGGATTAGGGAAGAAACAAAGACATTTCAGGAAGAGACAATTTTCCTTGTATTACTCCTGAGAAGCAGGGAGAAAGGAGGTCTGCTTGCCCTGGCTGTTGACTATAACCTGCAATCCCAACACACAACCCAAAACCAGATTTCATATGGGACCTTCAGTGTGAAGTCAGGGAAAGGGCTGGCAACTACTTTCCTGTTTTTCTCAGGTTCATGGGAAACTTTTCCATTCTGTCCAACACACAGGACCCTGGACTTGCTGATGGCTTCAGCACGTTTGCCGACCTCTGCAGGTTTTCTGCTGACACTTCTCTGTCTCCCTCAAAAGAGCAAGGGCCTCCCTGCATAGGCAAAAATACCTATGTACAGAGAAATGAAGATTCTGGCGGCAGAACGCCCTGCCTGGAAGCAGTTTAGAGAGCAGGGCAGCTCACCCTGCTCGTGTGGGAAGGGCTCCTGGACTCTCACTTGTTACAGACTTGTGCAGCATACAAGGAGAGATTTAGTGTATGGCTAGTTCCTTCTGGTCACCCCTGCTGACATTTGAGCCCTGACATTGAACTTGACAAAGGGAGATTAGATGGGAGCTAGTATGTTCATTTGAGTGATGGGGAATAATGGAATTTAGAGAGCGCAATATGCATGATTCAGTAACATCATCAGGCAAATGGAAAATGCAGGTTTTCTGTGATCAGGATAAAGTGTTCTACTATTTCATGCCATGCTGACATAAAATACCTATGTTCAAAGGCAGAGTCCATAGGAAGAAGAAGGAGGATAGCTGAAAGTCACCCACATGTCGATTCAAGTAACCGTTCTCGATTCATGTGACAAATCTTTATTCAGCATCTGCCAAAGGTTGAGAAGGCAGGTACCCAAACCTTTTTTTGTTTAAAGAAATTCCAGATTCAGAAAGATGAAGTGAAACATTTAAAGTGATCCTGCTAAAGTGTGGAAGGCTTGGATTCAAACCTAGGCTTTTTAACTCTAAAACTATTGAATGGGACTATCTTTAAATCCGAGGAACAATTAGGTAGCGTTGAAGAACAGGAGTAATAGGCAGGGTAGTTTTACAAAGCTTTAGGAGAAGTGTGGTCATTATAATGGAGTCAGAACCAAAAGCAAGTGGCCTTTTCAGAGTCCCACGCTACTGTAACAGGGACCACAGGGCCTCAGGTTCCAGATAACTCCAACTCAGCAGGCCACACTGGCAGATTCCAAAGGCCTCCTCTTTTCTCATCATGAGACTGCATGCTCCAAATGTCTGTGCACAGGCATGTGCCAGCAGTGTGACCACTTGAGCCTGGGTCTGCTGGTTTGCTGCCTGGGAAAGCTGTGTGCCCAGGGTGAGCCCCACCAGGCCCTGTGCCATCCTGACTAAGCTGAGGTTATTGGGTTCTGGCTGAATCAGCTCCCTTGTGTGCAGAGAGAAACCTGTGGAAGGTTTCAGAGAAATACTCACTTTGTGACTTTGAACAAATGAGAGGGGGGAGGGAAGGAAGGGATAAAGAAGAAAAGAGAGAAAGAATAAATAAACAAAAGCCAGGAGGCAATTGGAGCAGAAGCCATGAAGCTCAGGTTGACGTTGTTTAGGTGAGTTCTAAGGAAGAGCTGCCAAAAAACAAACAAAAAAAAACTCATCCAGAATTCTCTCTCTCTCTCTCTCTCTCTCTCTCTCTCTCTCTCTCTCTCTCTCTCTCTCACTTCCTCCTCCTTCTCTCCTCTTTTCTCTTCCAATCTATCTCTACTATCTCTATTTCTGTATGTCTATTATTACTATTTTTCTCTCTCTCTCTGACTATTTTAAAAATTAAATGTATTTAATTAGTGCGGGTGTGTGTGTGTGTGTGTGTGTGTGTGTGTGTGTGTGTGTACCATGTGTGTATGTGCCTACAGAGTCCAGAAGCGGGCATCAAATTCCCTATAATCAAAACTGCAGGCAATTGTAAGCCGTCTCCCATGGATGCTAGGAACTGAACTCAGTTCATTTCTAAGAGCAGGTGCTCTTAACTGCTGGACCAATTTTCTTCCTCTCTATTTTAATACACTAATTATTTCTTTGAAATTTTCATATTTCATACAATGTGTTTTGAACATATTCACCACCCATTCATCCCCTTAACTTCTCCCAGATCCATCCCCTACGCCTTCCCAACTTTGTCCTTTTTTTTTTTTTTAAATCCACAGAGTCCATTTTGTGCTGGCCATGTACTCACAGATTTGCTGACATTCACTGGAATGTGGTGTTGATCTGACAAGAGTCATACCCTTAAAGAAAATCGGCTCTCTTTTCCCTGAAATTTAATCAGCTGTGAATGGCTCCCCAGCTATGGAGGCAACCATAGATAGCTACTATGAGTTCATGAATGCAACAGTCCTATCATGCTCCTAGGACAGTTTCACTCTGGTCTTCCTTGGCTTCTGGCCTTACGATCTTCCCCTCCTCTTCTATGATGATCCCTGAACCTTAGAGAGGGGGTGTAATAGAAAGCCCTTATTCATGGCTGACCCTTCCATAGACAATTATTTGTACTCTGGCCAATTATGAGTGTCTGTGTTCAATTCCTTGCAATGCACAAAGAAACTTCTCTGATAAGGTTCTAGAGCTGCACAAATCTAAGGGTAGGGAGAGATTGATTTGAGAACTGTTTGATACTATGTCCATTTAGTAAAATAGTAATTGTAGGTTCATCCCTATGGCCTATGAGCTCCACAGCCATGAGTTCTTGGGCATGGTTATAATACCAATCTGGCATTTTATCCTGTAGAGTGGGCTTTAAATTTAATCAGAAAGTAGTTGGTTTCTCCCCTATCATCCATACCACTGTTACACACCCATGTTCATCTCTTGCCATACTGGTTGCTCACAGAGTTCACAGCTATGTAAAATGGTTGAAGAATTTTCCTTCTAGCAGCTATAATAACACCTTTTGGCACTGTGGAAGCTAGCTTTAAGTCACTGTTCTCAATCTATAACAAAAGGAAAGATTATTTCACACATGGCACAAACTAATACAATAATAATTCTGCAACAGGCAGAATTCATGACTTGGTATGATAGTGAAATGCCTCTCAAATTATCAGGCAATGACAGAGATGTCTCACAGTTT